CAGGGGATGCTCGCTTTCAGTCTCGGGCTGCTGACGCCCATGTTAAGGCCCAGGACATGATGTGCGCTGACAGACAGTTGAGTGTAGTCTTTCTACAAATAACGTCACCGTGCTTTATACGGATCATTTGCTGCCATTCACATTGCTTACTCATTTTTTTATTCGTTCCATCTGTCACTGGGAGATGGGGTGTGACAGTCCTCAGGAAAAACCGCCGAGTTGCCTGTTTTCACCTCAACACTAATTGCTTTGTGTGTGTTGAAGCTTTGGACTTCTACATGTTTATGGCTGCTTCATCTTCCTGGTCACTGACCCTTTCCCATGACGTGGCCCCCGTGTCACTAATAGCACATCCGTGGCACCCGCCTTGTCTGATACTAACCTTGCCGCTCCCCACCTTTTGCTGCCTACATGGTGCGTAGAGTTTCCGTCCATTCACTTTCATTCTCTGTGTCTCGATATTTAAAATGTGTCTCTTGTGAGAGCATATAGTTGGGTGTTGCTTTTTCTTATTGATTGATTGATCGATCGATCGATTGAGACAGGTTCTCACTATGTTGCCCGGGCTGGCCTTGAACTTGGGGCCATCTCCTGCCTCAGCCTACCGAGAACTGGGATTATGGGTATGTGCCACCACGCCTAGCTCCAAGGATTTCTCAATTCTGATGTTCTCTCTCTCTCTCTCTCTCTCTCTCTCTCTCTCTCTCTCTCTCTCTCCTCTCCCCTCTTCTCTCCTCTCTCGTCTCTCTCCTCTCCTCTCTCTCTCTGTCTCTGTCTCTCTCTCTCCCTCTCTCTTTTTCTCTCTGTCCCTTTCTCCTCTCCTCTCTCCTCTCTCTCTCCCCCTCTCTCTTTCTCTCTGTCCCTTTCTCCTCTCCTCTCTTCTCTCTCTCTCCCCCTCTCCCCTCTGTCCTCTCTCTGTCTCTGTCTCTCTCTCCCTCTCTCTTTTTCTCTCTGTCCCTTTCTCCTCTCCTCTCCTCTCTCTCCCCCTCTCTTTTTCTCTCTGTCCCTCTCCTCTCTTCTCTCTCTCTCCCTCTCCTCCCTCTCCCCTTCTCCCTCCCCTGTTCCTTCTTTCTTCCCTTTTGAATTTGAATCTCACTTTTCTGCTGACTTTTTAGCTCCAGTTATTTGCTGTCTCCTTTAAGCAGCCTGCCAAGGTTACAGGTGTCTCCGTGGGGCGCGTCCCCACAGCAGTCAGAGCCAGGCACTCACGCTCAGTGACACTGTGTGGGGACTCTGCGCTGCAGTGTGGTGACTGCAGCCAAGAACAGTGTCTTGTGCTCTTGGGAACCACAAGGCAGTAAGCTTGAGGTGTTCTTACTTCCGAAAAATGGCGAATGGATAAGTATGGGAGGTAACACAGATGGTAACGGCCTGACTTAGTCATTTCGCAGTGTACATGTACTGTACACAGTACAACATATTGCACAGAATAATGTTGACAATTTTGTCAATAAAAATAAATGAAAAAAAATAAATGATAACCCTTCACAGTTAGTAGTGTACACTGCGTGCAAAATATGGAGGTCTTGAGACCTTATGGATTGACATTTCCTCCATATGTCGTGCTAGTTATATATGCAAATGTTAAAAACACCAAAGGACAATATTGTCATCCTTATTGTTGTAAGTTTAAAGGTTAGAAGAACATTGAGAGGAAGAGGGAAAAAGAAAAACTTTGGTCGTTGTGCTGATTCAGATATCTGTCGCTTGCGAAGCATCTTGCTGCTTTCAGAAGGCTGAGGCGCTTCCGGGATAATTTCTGTAGAGCTGGGAGAATTTCCTTCTGCATCTCGTTGTCTGATGCACCTGCAGGATGAATTCTTTCTGGTGTGCTTCATGTGAGAATGACTTTGTTTTGCCTTCTTTAAAAAATTTTTTTAAAAAATCTTTTATTCATTTATTTGGTACAGGGTCTCGATGCTTGGCTCGGGCTCATGGTGATCCTCCTGTCTCAGCCTCCCCAGCGCTGGGATTACAGGCGTGCACCACCCCGGCTGGTTTCAGGGCCAGCTCCACATGCGGTACCAGGGATCGAAACCGAGTCCTTGTGCTTGCCAGGCCGGTGCTCAAACCACCGAGCTATCTCTCCAGCTCCTTGGCTTCTTTCATTAGAAGACATTTTGCTAGATGTAGAATTCTGGATTGAATCTTTTCTCATCTAGTTTTTAGAGATACTGTTCCAGGCTGGGGATAGCTCGGTAGTCTCGGGAGGAGCTGGGAATTGTGCTGCTGTGTAGGGAGATGCGGCGGCGCCTCTGTGCTGCCCAGATTAGGTGCCCTCAGCATGCAGATTTGCCTGCTCGGCGCTGCAGCGTTCGGAGTCTGGGCTGACGGGGACAGTGGCCTTGGGCCGCGTTGCCTGTCAGGCGGCATTGTTGGGTAGAAGCAGGTGATCGGAAGTTGTGGTGTTCTGCATGTTGGGAAGCTGAGGCAGAGAGGTTTCAGTTGCCTTCCCACGTCTGTAGTTCTCAGACGCCATGGAAAAGAGAGCAAACCAGCCTGCATGCAGGAAATAGGAAGACAATGAAAACTGCAGTCTAGATGTATAAAGCCCAGACACAGCGAAGGGGAGGCGGCGGCAGAGCAGGGAGCTGCACTTCCCGGAACGAAAGGCCCCAGGATTTCGGCATCCGCGCAGCCATGTCCTCTCCGTGCTTGCACTGGGTGAACGCAGCGTGTTGCGCCTGCCCCTAGACCTGGCGCTCTGGGCAAGTGGCTAAGACTCACACCATCCTTCCTTTGGTTTAGATGACAGCGCGTCTGCGGCGAGCAGCATGGAGGTGTCGGACCGCATCGCCTCGCTGGAGCAGCGCGTGCAGATGCAGGAGGACGATATCCAGCTGCTCAAGTCGGCGCTGGCCGACGTGGTTCGGAGGCTGAACATCACCGAGGAGCAGCAGGCTGTGCTCAACAGGAAAGGACCTACCAAAGGTGGGCTTGGGACAGGACCGGGGATGCGCGGGCCCGAGGGTGCTTGCTCCTGCTCTGGCATTGACCAGAGATGCAAAACGCGGCAGCACCAGGAGAACACAGTCCTAGCGCTGTGGCGGTAATTGCGCTGTGCACGGGCGACTTGTGGGTGGCGCTGGTAAGTCCCCTTTCTGGGGTGCGCATTTGTGAGTGATTGCTAAATGCCAGTTGAGTCCCTGAGGAAGAGGCCATCCAGTGGACAGCGGAGAACCGAGTTTACCTCGATTCTGTGGGGGGGCAGAGAGCTTGCGGGCGGAGCCGCTCTCCTCCCCGCCCCTTCCGCAGGTGGTGGACACTGGTGCTAACTCCCATCTCTTTCTGGGTCCAGTGCTTACGTTGTCACTGTCGTTCAGTTCAGCACAGGAGGCAGCTAATCAGCCGCGTGAGGCCTGCGAGGCCCTCAGCAGGGCCCTGGAGCACAGCATCCTGAAGGCGCCTAGATCTACTCCCTAGCCGCCTCCTCTCCTCCTGCTGGCAGCCGGGCCGTGCCAGCTGCTTCCTGGGTCTCCTCTGCCAGGCAGGAGACCTCCACGCTGGGGGTTTTCTAGCAGATTTCACCCATCATTTCATGTCCCCATGCTTCTGGTAGTGAGGCATCAAAAACCAATGTTTGGATTAAATAACTTTGTAGTAGTCTGCTTCTTAAAATTCTGGAAACTGCCGGTGTCCACCTTGGACAGGCGCGGATGCGCACCGGCTCTGCTCCGGCCGCAGGGCCTTCATCGTGGCTGTAAAATTCCTTTCGGTTAAAACACTTTGAGATGGCAGCATGTGAATGTCCCTTACGAATGCCCATCTTTGGTTTGGACTTAGCAAATTATTTCACTCACAGTCAATACATTTTCCATGACATCAAGATACAGTTGGTTCCACAAAAAAAAAAAAAAAAAAAAAAAAAAAGAAAGAAAGAAAGAAAGAAAGAAAAGACACAGTCATCCATCGCTGCATCTTTTAGTGTGTTTCTCGTGTGCTTGGTACATTTTCACACCTTTGCAAGGATGGACCTTTTTCTTTGTCCTGCAGCATAGCTACGACCGAGGCCCTGTGAGACACACATGCTCGGCTGATGTCTGTATTTTAAATAATCTTTTCAAGTGATCTTTTCCTCCTCCTAAGTTACAGAATGATTAGGATATTTTAAATAGAAACTGGGTTATTTCAGGTATTCTTGACCTACTCAGCCTTCCAAAAATAAATCTGATGACTACGATATCTGAGAGGGTACATTTGAAGCAGTTGCCTTACATGAAGCTCCGGACTTCTAAACTCCTTATTTTTAGAAAAGTGGGGGATAATGTAATGGGTGTGCCCGAGAGTTTTATTTTTCTTAATTATGAATGAAGTTTGATTTTCACAAAACTTCTAAGGGAAGTGATTTTTTTTTTCCAGTTACCTGATATTACTCTATAAGGCCGTTTTCCTAAGGAAAAGTGAATCCTATCATTAAAGCCGGAAGACCACAGTGACAAGCAGAAGGAAGCCCCCAGGAAGGCAGGCAGGGGGTGGGGAATGTCCCCCGAGAGGGCCGGTCTGTGAGGTCGCACCTTCTGTGCCGCTGATCAGGGCCAGGCTCACCGTGGCCAGCTGGCCGTCACAGTCACGGTCTGGTGAGGGAATTTTGTAGGCAACTCGGATTTTAGGCAAGCCTTTGTTTTGAAGCGATCACGTTCGTACAGGCTGAGTCTACCTGATGTTAAATCCTTGGGGATTTTCCGGTCGTGGCATGTGTACAGTGAGACATCTCAGGGATGAAACCAGACTCTAAACACGCTTATTTATGCTTTATGTGCACCTTATACACACCCTTTGCTGCTTGTGCTGGTGCACGCCTGTAGTCCCAGCACTTGGAGGCTGAGGCAGGAGGACTGTTGTGAGTCGGAGACCAGCCTGGGCTCCATGGTAAGTTCAAGGCCAGCCTCAACTGCATCACAAGACCCTGTCTCAAAAAGACAAAAGAGAGAGAGAGAGAGAGAGAGAGAGAGAGAGAATGACACATACCCTAAAGTGACTGTGAGTCATTTGTCATTTTTCTGTTGTTATAAAGAATACCTGAGATAATCAGGCAGACTTTTTTTTTTTTTTTTTGCGGTACTGGGGATTGCACTCAGGATACCTGAGATAATCAAACTCATACAGAGAAAAGATTCATTTTTGCTGGTAGTGTGGAAGGTTTCGGTCCACTGTCAGTTGGCGTGATTGCTTGGGCCTCTGACGAAACAGCACGTCCTGGTGGCACCATATTGCGTACCTGTCCACCCCAGGACACAGGGGCTCGTGGGGGAAGGGGGTGGGGCCCTATAACCCTTCAAGGCGGCACCCACACAAGCAGAAGGACCTCCTACCTCCCAGCAGCACGGGGCCTCTTGTTCTAATATCAGGAGAGCTTTGGTTTTGTTTTTTAAAGACAGGTTCTTGCAGTGAACCTGGCTTTAAACTGGTTCAGGCTGGCTTTAAACTCACTGTGTAGCCCAGGCTGGCCTTAAATCCTGAGCGGTCCTCCTGCCTCAGCCTCTCAAACGCTGGGATTCCAGGCATGGGCCAGCACACCCAGCAAGCTCCCATTCTAGATCCAAGCGGTAGCAGGATTTCTGCTTCCATATATTCGTGTCCCTGCATTTTGACTGTCATGGGAAGTTAGCTGTGACATTTCCTCTTTGTGTCGTGTCTGGACCCAGAAAGTTCAGATGTTAGTGCGTTCTGGGTCAGGAATGCTTGACCTGTATGGTATTATGATTGCTGTTGTTGTTGTTGTCATCTTATTTTGGCTTTTTGCCCTGTCACAGATGGATGTAGACTAGAGGCATGGCTTCTGATTTCTAAGTATTAAGCGACTTACCCCTAAAGGTTAATTGTGAGAAATGTAGGGTTTGGGGTTCAGTTCTTCAGGGCATGTCTTTGTGTTGAAGCAGGCTGCCCAGGACAGCAGTGAGAATTCTCAAGGCCAGCTCAGGGTTAGTGCCCGACGAGTGTCCCTTCTGCGTGCTGTGGCTTCCCTATAGGTCGCGCCGCGGGCCGCACTCACCAGCCTCAGCATTGCCTGTGAGCCGGTAAGTAATAACGCAGATCCAGTAAGCAGTTGGTCTCTCCTGTGCATGCAGCTGAAGAATTTGTCTCTGGGTGTTTGTGCTAAAACCGGAAGTCCAAACATGGGATTAGCCCGTGGAAGTTATTCTGAAAAACATGGCAAAAGGAAACACTGTGTTGCTTAACAGGAGATTGTTCTGCTGGGCGCAATAAGTGGAAATTGAAAGTGTTGTTTCCAGCTCAGCCCACCACATACATTCATCTAAATGTGAGCAGCTGCCTCCTTGAATTCCTTTTATGGTCTCGCACTTGGCTTTGCATTTGTTCCAAATCACCAACGCTGCCTGCTTTGCAGCAGAAGTTGTAGACGCCAGCCATAGGGTGGCTGGCCTTCTGGGCAGGGTGAACGCCAGTTTCTCTGGGACTTCTGTAGACCATCAGAATAGGAGAGGAAACCACCTCTCCTATTTTCTTTCAGGGATTGTTGGATTCAGGCAATTTGGATTTGGCCAAAGAAGATTGATTCCCTTCGAAGAGAGGCTGTTGGTGGTTGGTGGCCCGGTCAGTGCGCTTCCAGGAGCCATTGTCTTTGCCTTTGTGTCTTTCTGTCCACTGTAAGGGCTGGGGCGGGACAAGGAACTATACTGCTTCAGAAAGACACTGGCTGGTAGGTCTGAAGCACTGACGACGATAGGCTGCAGCGTATCTTCAAATAAACACCCAACTAGCAGGAGAGATGAAATCAAAGTTTTCTCAAAAATAAAACTCACTACAGCAGTAGAGTTTGAATTAGACTCATGGGACTTGTAACGGTTGTTTAGTTTGACCTACAAGGGACAGAATTGTTCAGCTGAAGAACCAGTCGAGCAGTTTGACCCACAAGGATGATTACGCAACTGATGCAGTAATCCCTTTCCAAGACAGTGCTTCACTAATTTGAAGAAATTCATGCCGACTCCTGGGCTTGGACCTATCTTACGTCTCTGTGTGCCTGAACTGCTGTAACAGCGAGCTCAAGAGCCTCACAAAAGTGATTGGCTGGCCCAGTGAACGCAAGGATTCCTGAGACGGGGAGAAGCTGGCCAGCTCCTGTGCCGCGCGGCGTGCCTGGGGGCGTGAGCTCCTGTCCCCGAAGTGGCTCGTGATGCCATTACTGTCAGACAGCTTTAGGGTAGGGAAAGAGGCTTGGCCTGCACGTGGGCTCGGTGTGTGCTGCACTTGCATTCAGAGAGAACGATGGCAGAACATTTCAGTTCTGCGGAGCTTGGGTTGCTGTGGATACGGAGAGAGTCAAGTAGAGGAGGCCGTTGAAGTTACTGCTCTTGTTGCTGAGACAAGGTACACAACCCCAGAGCTAAACAAGACAAGGCTTACTTGGTTCACTGTGTGTTGAAGTTTCAGCCTATAATCATCTGGCTCCAAGGCAGGGTGGCTTGGCAGAGGAGGATCACAGAGGAGAAGCAGTCCATGGCAGGGCAGGAGAGAGCAGAGCAGCGGCGGGGCAGCCTGCTCCCTTGTCCCCCTTCCGGTTGACCGTCTCCCAAGGTGGGAAGGCGGCATTCGTATCATCCACACAGAGAACCGTGCCGAGCCAATCAGCTGACTGACTTGGTGGTCATGCCAACGACTTGGTAGTCATTCTGTGCATGACACCCCCTGCCAGCCGCCTCCAGAAAGCCCCACCTCCTACCTTGTGGAGCTTGGAGGGAACACCTAGACACCAGCCACACCAGGGGTCTAGATGCCTTGAGATCCTGCTAACATTCAAGGGTTTCAGAGTTGTGCCTGGGGTGGGGCCAGACTCACCACTAGCAGAGCGCAGCACTCAGACCCTTTTCCTGTTGCTGCCGTGAGAGTAAAGACAGAAAACGCTCAGTGCACAGGAGAGTCCATGCCCAATGGAGACAAATTGGGCAGGAAACAATGAGGGGACAGCA